ATTATGCTCATTTTGCTTATATATATATATATATATATATATATATATATATATATATATATATATATATATATTGTATATATGTATTATAAGAATATATAATATATAATATATAATGTTCGATGAATATACTGTTCGATTTTATCTTTGTTTCGCGTTTTTTTTTTAATAAAATTAAATTTAGCGACATTTGGTGACTTTTTTTGTTACTAAATTCATGTATAGAGACTTTTTTGACGGCAGTTACGGTAATTCAATGTGGCAACACTAGACCGATGAGAACGCCTCACCCTCAGTGCGCGCCATAGAGTAGAGTAAGTAATATACACAGAAAGTGCGCGGTGCGCGCTTAGCAGTCGTCGCAGATGGATGTTTAACGGCACTGTGGATACGAACGGAAGCAAAGAACGTGAGGTCCTGACCGAATTCTTATCACTGTACTGTGATTTACCATGTCTTTGGGATATTGGATCGGAGTTATATAATGACAGGAATAAAAAAATGCAAGCATGGGAGCTTTTGAAGGACAAGCTTCAAGAAATTGAACCCGAGGCAAACTTCGCTGCAACGAAGAAAAAAATTGAGCATATTATGCGATCGGCTTTCAAGAGAGAGCACAAAAAGGTGATTTTTTATAATACCTACTTTTTGTTTTAATAAAGTTTTTTCTTTCATTCCTTTTCTTTCTTTTCCTTCATTTGTTTCAAATAAAGAAGTTTATCCCGATGACATTATAGCAATTTTTTGCTAGCAATTATTCTATACTTTACTTAATTTCACAGACAAATATAGCATTAGTTTTTACTTACATTTTTAATGTAGATAATGATTTTAGTAGATAGACTACTAACATAACCTTTAAACGAAATATACACAATTTTCTATTCATCATTAACTGTAATTAAATAATTTATAAGTCCTTATAATAAAAACAAAAGGGCTGCATGATAACTAAGCCTATCCTTGTCTTGTTATTTATTTAGGTTAAAGAATCAAAACGAACGGGAGTAGAAGCCAATGATGTCCATGTTCCTAACCTGTGGTACTATAATTTGCTGCTGCCTATTTTTGACAAGAAAGATGAACAATCAAGATGCGGGGTGGACACGCTGTCCCGTGATGAATTGAGTACATAATTTTAATAATTTGAAAAATAGCCTAAACAAATTTTAAAGCAAATTTTACTTTGACATAATTTGCTCCTAAAACAGATAAAGGCGCTATATTTTCTTTAATAAAAAGAAGACAAAAGTTAGATTTCGTATAGCGTTTAATTACAAAATCATAAAACCAAATTACAAAACTATCTCACGAAATTACAAACTTCTAATATTCTTATAGTTTTCGTATAAATTCGATTGTCCACTAGATAGGTGATTGATGATTTTTTTAGTAAATAGACCAGAAGTCAATGAATATTTTATTTTAAAATAAAATTGGGTTACATAAATTAAAAAAGTAGGTACCTACTTGATGGTTGGGTGCTATAAATTATAAATTGGTCTTGACCAAGATTTTTTAAAGCAAAAAAAAAGTAAAATTTAAATGTTTCTGGTTAAGCATAAGTAAAGTTTAAATGTTTCCGGTGATGTATAAGGGGGAGATCCCCCTTTAAGTGTGTGTTCCCCCCCCCTATTTCCCCTGCCCCCCATCCCCCCTATAATGCCCCAAATTACTAAAGAAATATCATAAACAATTTTATTCTCTTCTTTCCATAACTATTTCAACCATTTTGTCTTGAAAGCATACTTTGCCAGTTGTATTAAAATAATCCATTAAGGTTTTTCTCACTTCCTGCCCCTCGTAAGTATTCCTTTCACCAGTGCGATGGAGAGGGGTTAGGGTACCTTGTTGTCGCCATTCTCCAGGTCTAAATATTTGATGTAAGTCTTCATAGTCAGCACTTGAAGGGGTCCAAAAAATTTTCGACTTTTGAACTTGACTTTTTTCGAAAGTTGTGTAACGCACAACTGGCTAGAACAATTACATCCAGGTTTTCAATTTTAACGCTAATAGGTTGCCTAAATACTACTCTGAAACGTGAAGCAAGAATGCCGAAAGCATTTTCAACAACTCTTCTAGCTCGGCATAGACGATAATTGAATATTCTTTTCTCCTTAGTGATGTTCTTATCGGGGAATGGTTTCATTATATTTGTTTCAAGTGCAAATGCACTATCTCCTAAAAAAACATACGGTACTGTTAAGTTTGTACCTAGCAGTATAAATGATTCTGGCAACTTAAGGTCATCGTTGATAAGTTTTTCATAGAACCTGGTGGCTTTGAGTATTCCTCCATCTGACATACTTCCATTTGAACCCGTATGAATACATAAACACTCACGCCTGTCACCCAGAGGGGTAGGCAGAGACTACAGACTTCCATTTGGCACGATCCTGACGCACCTCTCTTGCCTCCTTCACATCCATACACCTACGCATACATGCTCGTCGGTTAAGAGTACTCCTAATTTGGCCCGTTTTCAATAAATCGCCAATTTGGTCGATAAATTTTCGCCTAGGACGTCCCTTTCCGACTCTGCCATTCACTTCTGCACCATAAATTTTCTTTGTCACTCTTTCCTCGTTCATTCTTTCCACATGACCAAACCACCGAAGCATTCCTTTCTTAATCCTGGTCACAGCATCATCTTGCAAACCACACTCTTCTCTTATTACACAATTTCTTACCCTGTCATTCAGATTCAGCCCTAACATACTCCTTAACGACCACATTTCTACTGCGTTTGTTCTACTCTCATGCTTCTTCTGCCACACCTAACTTTCACTACCATACGTTAAAGTAGGGACCAACACAGCATTGTGAATTGCCATACGTGCCTTTTTCGACACATTTTGACTCTTCAAAATAGAGTGCAAGGCCCCATTTACTCTATTTCCCGCATTCACTCGTCGTTCTATATCCTTATCATATCTCCCATCCCTGCTAAATACGCAGCCCAAATATACAAACTCATCTACTTGCTCAATCAACTCCCCTTCTATTCTTATTTCACAAATCTTTTTACTTTCTTCTCTTTCAAAAACGATAACCTTCGTCTTACTTGCGTTCACTTTCATACCCCTTTCTTTTAATGATCCGTTCATTAATGTAACCATCATTTGCAACTCGGCCGCTGACGACGCAAGAATAACTTGATCATCGGCGTACAAAAGGCATTTGACGGTTAACTCACCCATTCTTAATCCGCATTCTTCAACTTTCAAATTTTGCAAACAACTGTCCATAAATAGGTTGAACAGCCACGGGGAAGCCACACAGCCCTGTCTGACACCTTTATGGATGTCAAACCAGTCCGAGTAGACCCCGTTGATCCTAACACAAGCACTAGAGTCCCTATAAAGAGACTCCAATGCATTTCATGACCCTTTCAATCAATACCTTAGCATACAGTTTTCCCACAATGCTAAGAAGGCTGATGCCACGGTAGTTTTTACAGTCCCGCTGCGACCCTCTTCCTTTATATACTGGGACTATCACGGCTTTGCACCAGTCTACCGGTACCCGCTTCAGTTCCCAACATAAATTAAACAAGGTATGCAGCAGGCCTGCCACCACTTCCTCCCCAGCCCTTAGCTTTTCGAGTGAAACTCTATCATATCCGGCAGCCTTACCTGCTTTCATGCTTTTCATTGCTTTCATTATTTCATCTATACTTATCTCGCTACCTCTTTCCTCTTCTTTCGGTGTTTCTACTTCACTTAGTACACACGTTGTCTCCTCACTCATAAACACACTTTCAAAATATTCCTTCCATCTCTTTAAACTCAAAACTTCATCATTCAGAATATAACCATTCTCGTCTCTTATAGCATTCATCATAGGCTGTTTTGAATGTCCCCTGGCAGTTCTTACAAGTTTTCAGAACATTTTAATATTTGCCTGGAAGTTATCCGATATTCTTCTATCATTCTTATCCGTTCTTTCTTGCTTTTTTCTTTCAACTACTTCTTTTACTCTCCTATTAAGATGTCTCAAGACTGCCTTTTTTCTTTCAATATCACCATTTGTACCACTAGAATTAGCAGCCTTTGTTGCTAGTAAATCTAGCCATGCTCTCTTCTTTGCTTCAACTTCCATACGTATCTCATCATCCCACCATAACGTATTATTTTTCCTTTCATTCTTTCTCTTACTAACACCACATACTTCGGTAACTGCATCCACTAAACCTTTCTTTACATTTTACCCATATGAACATAAATGAATTCGTAGTTTGCATTGACAATTGCAAACAACACCACACTAAATGTACCCTTATAGTTGTAGAACAATGATCCCGTTCCGGATGGTTTTTCAATTAAAATATGCCAACCTACACAGTTGTGAAATTGCCATTGTTCTTGAAAAGATTTCGCAGCCATATCCCATTCATATTTCGATGAGTGTAACTGAAACAAATATTTTTTTCAGGAATCCAGATCATCAGAACATAAGAAGGGCAGAAAAAAGTTTAATATCTTGGTGATTAAAAAAAAAAGAAATTAATAGATACTGCACAAGAATTATTACAAAGCGATAATAGAAAAGAAAATCAAAAGGAAATAAACTCATTTGGCTTGTACGTAGGAGAACAACTAGATCAGATTGAAACATTTCAACGCCAAGTGGCTGCGAAACTAATTTCTGATGTCCCTTTTCTTGCAAAAGCAGGGAACCTTAATTTTGATTCAAGAATCGAAACAAAACGATCTCGAAATTTCCCTATTTTTCAGATGTCATCATCACCACAATATACTCGACTATCACCATCCCCAAATTACATTCAGTCGTCATCATCTCCGTATCACATTCAGACATTAACAACACCACAACAAAGCCACCCATCACCATACCCAAATTACATTCAGTCATCATCATCTCCGTATCACATTCAGTCATTAACATCACCACAACAATGGCTTTGTTGTGGTCATGTTAATGACTGATTGAACGCCATCACCATACCCAAATTACATTCAGTCATCACCATCTCCATATTACATCCAGCCATCACCATCACCATATCCCACCCAACCATCACCATCACCACATTCCAACCAACCATCACCACATCCCTCCAAACCAACACCATCACCACATCCCACCAAACCATCACCATAACCACATCCCACCAAACCAACACCATCACCACATCCCACCCAACCATCATCATCGCCACATCCTACGAAACCATCACCATCACCACATCCCACCCAAACATCACCATCACACCCTAACATACCATCACATACGAATAGAATAATATATGAAGGACTGGCTAGTGCAATAAGTGAATTTGTAATTTTTGAAAAGGATAAATAAATGTCATTGTAATACACTACCTTGATTGTTTTCTTCAAAGCCTTGTATATCGCCCAACAAGTTTCAGGTATAATTTTTGAAAGCAATTGAAATGATGTAACTGTACTAAATCTCAAATCTTTATAACTTCTTCCCGTAGCCAAAAATCTTAATGTAGCTATTAATCGTTCTTCAGCAGACACGGCTTGACGCATAACTGTATTTTTTTTTGTAATCATTGGACGCACCATCTCAAGTAATTCATTAAAAGTATCTCGATCCATTCTTAGAAAATTCCGAAAGTCTTCAGAATCAAGAATCCTTAAAATATTGAGATGGTTTAAAGTAATGCGCTCTTTCAGCCACAATTTCATCCATTTTCTTTTTTTTCATCTTCACTCAAGCACAGAAACGTTAAAGCTAAACCGATTTTTTGTTGTTTAGAAAAGCAAGGAGTCATTTTTAGAAGTAACTACCTTACGTCTTTACTCTTTAAATACCAGAGACAACTGACAAGTTGAGTCAACCACCCGACCGTGTAGAACGAATACAAAAATCGGTTGACCCGACCAAGGTCACGACGGTTGATGGTTGGTCCCGACCGTGTAGAAGCGCTTTAAGCGTGCGACGAGGTTCGAACCGCTATCCACCTGGGTACCTCGTAACTGTAAAGCGGCTCGCTGGGCCAAACGTATATTACACAATGGTGCGAAATTACGCATTTATATGTATTGGAAGTCGCACATCGGCGAAATTCGTGCGGTATGCACCCCGCAGTGACCCGCAGTGCTGAGACTACTCGTCCCCCACTCATCTGCTTCACCCCCTCTAGTACATAAAAGTCGTCTATTCACCGCGTCTTAAATCGATATTATTATTTGGGGGACGAGGCTACTCGCGTCCGTAGGTAATACGTACTTGAAATCTGACTCTACGTGTCGCCCGGGTAGTGCTAAACGAGCAGCACCGATTCCGGTGGCCGCTGGCTTTTTGATTACTGTCCACCAAAGTCTTGTCGGCAAATTACTTTTTGATGATGATGATTTATAGAAGCCAGTCATTTGGATAGATATAAAGATAGACTGACCTATTATATATATATACTTGCAGATGTATAGATTTATACAAATGTATCAATAGTAAATAGTACTTTAGATCCTTATAGTGCAAACTTGTAATAGGCAATGATGTCTATCCTTTATAAGTAAGGATATACTAACATGTTACATAATATTACCAAATTAAAACTTAAAGCACTCTCGATTCGAGCACGATAGACTCTATTGCGTTTCCATTATTCATTCGACATAGCAAAAGATATTTCACCTAGTTATGTCAGCAATTTAATATCGCAAGCTATCTTATATTTTATAAAATTAGTTACTGTGGTCGGCAGGCGTCTAGTGCCCACTTTTTGCGGACACGCACACTAACTCATCTAAGTTTCGTCGTAATCAAAAAGATGGTAACAAACTGTCTAGTGGCGGTGTAAGAATACCCTCTACCCCATATAATACCGTGGGTGTCGTAAGAGGCAACAAGGCCAAACTAAACCAGGAGAAGGACAGCGGCGTCTTTCTAATAAAAACTGCTGTCGCCAACACACCTGCTAACCGTGGCAACTATGGCAGTCTACGGGGGAAGCTTATGTTCATGTTCACTGTGGAACTTTGATAGTCTATCGGTAACGAATGAATAGCAAAGGGTACAGGATTATATGCAGGATTTTTCAACAAGAACTTTGTTTTCTAAAACAAAATAAAACAAAGAGTTTAGATGAAGATGATTCAAATTTTTATTGTATTACGAAGAGAAAAGTTTGGCAATTATGAATGAAAAATGATATCCGGCAAATGTCCACCACGACCACGCTGACAGATGTCGATTCTTTCATTAAAGTTTTTAATCACTTTTTGGCAAAATGGCGGGTCTATTTCGTTAATCACGTCACGGATTTTGAGTTTTAAGGCCGCGATCGATTCGATTGGCTCCGTATAGACTCTGTCCTTAACATAGCCCCACAAAAAATAATCCAGTGGTGTTAAATCACACGATCTGGCTGGCCATTTAACAGCTGAATTTCGTGAAATTATGCGATAGGGAAATTTGGTTTGCAATAAATTAATCGTTTCGTTGGGTGTGTGACATGTGGCACCGTCCTGTTGAAACCACATGTGTGTGATATCGATGTCATCAATAATAGGCCAAAATTGAGATGTTAACATCTCGCGATAGCGTGATCCATTGACCGTTGCCGCATTTCCAGCCTCATCTTCGAAAAAAAAAACGGCCCAATCACGCCTCCAGACCACATAGCGCACCATACGGTGACACGTTGAGCATGCAAAGGCTTCTCAATAATCGCTTTAGGATTTTTCAGAAGCCCAAATGCGGCAATTTTGCTTGTTGACGTACACTGACAAGTGAAAATGGGCTTCGTCTGAAAGAAATATTTTTTCAGAAAAACCAGCGGGCAGTTCCTGAATGAATTGAGCGAATCTACGGCGATGTGAATGGTCGGTCAGCTTCAATTCCTGCACCAGTTGAACTTTGTAAGGCTTCAAAGCCAAATCCTTACGCAAAATTCGCCATGTGGTGGTTTTGGATAACCCCAATTGTTGAGAACGTCGAGGAATTGACAAATTTGGATCTTCTTCAACACTTTGGCTCACGGCTGCGATGTTTTCGGTTGAACGACCCGGTCGAACACGCGTTGGTGTTGGCACATTTTGTACCGAGCCTGTCGATTCAAATTTAACGACCAAATTCTTAAAAGCGGTCTCAGAAGGACGATTATGTTGTCCGAAAATATCACGAATTTTACGAAACGTAACTTTAACAGAACCACCATTTTCATACTGGATTTTAATTATTTTAATGCGATTTTCGAGCGAAATTGAATTCATTGTATCAATTGCCAAAGCATCTACTACGAATAGGTCAAAAAACTATATGTCAAAACTGTCATGTTGTTGGTGTTGCCCCATTTGAAATACAAAGTTCTTGTTGAAAAACCCATTAGAACAATGTACAAACAAATTGTTATTAAAATCGTTGCGAATAGATCAAACGTTTACAGCTCTACCCTCGATCTAAGTAACATACCACCGTATAATCACGATGTAAGATTGTAAGAATATGCACTAAATAAAATTTTATGAATCGTAAAAATTTATTTATATACAATATGTAACGTAATTAACGCACACCCTCAGACACCCCAATTAGTATATTATGTTATAATCATAATACATACACTGAATTTTTAGTTAAACATTTTTATGCACTGATTATTTATCAAATTAGTTATATTAATTCCGGAAGAATGTTGTGGTCACAGTACAAGTCCACAAACGTAAAGACTTTAACATGTTTGAAATAAAGTTCATTTTTCTTTATTTCTATTGAATGATTTTTATATTATTTTTATAATTAGTAATAATACAAATAAAACTGCACTCTTAAAAGTTTTTTGCCTTAAGTTACGGTCCATTTCAGTTTGTTTTGACTGTACAACAAGTATATAGATTTAGTATGACTGTGATTTACGTAGTTTTAATTATTTTTGGGATAAAAAATTACCTAAAAAATGTTAGGAATCAATTCAGTAAACGATTCTGAACAAACTACTTTCTCAAAGTGCGTTATTGTGTTACGTGTTGTATATATAATTTTCTCAGATAGATTTTTTTATATTAATATATTTATAAAATAATATAAATAAAATCTAAAATATACTACCCCATGTCTACATATACTATGTTTACATGTCTATATGTAGTATTTACTACCCCATGTCTACATGTACTATGTCTACATGTCTATATGTAGTATGTACTACCCCTGTCTTCATGTACGTGCTTGTAGTATTCTACCCCATGTCTACATGTACTATGTCTACATGTCTATATGTAGTATGTACTACCCCATGTCTACATGTATATGTATACATGTCTATATGTAGTATGTACTACCCCATGTCTACATGTACTATGTCTACATGTCTATATGTAGTATGTACTACCCCATGTCGTCCCATGGGTGCCGTAGGAAACACAGAGGGAATCAAACCAAAAGGGCGCCAGTGTCTTCCTAATAAAAACAAGAAAATAAAAATTACGGTTGCCAATGCGCTTGTCAATCGTGGCAACTATGGGAAATACCTCCTAACGAGTTAATCTATGGGGGGGGGGCTATGTTCATCAGTGTACTTCATAAGCTGTAATGACATAATTAAATAACAAATGAATAAACACTATTAGTAATAAACCGTTTACTATTAATAGAACACTTGAAACTAATATTTGTGCTACATATCAAAGCAACGTTCGCATTAAAATTTTATTCAATTCCTTATGAAACTATCTCTAGCATTGCGATATCTGCGAACTGCGTTATCAGTACACGCATTCCTTGCTCAATTATACAAGAAAATTGTTCAAGTAGTTTGCTAAGAACTCGGCTTGCCTTTTTTGTACGGACTTTTACTATGTTCACAGTTTTAGAAATAATATTCTGCGTAATCAATAGTCAATGAATAAAAACTAAAAGAAATATAATAAAAAACTGTAGTTGGCAACCCGCTTGCTAACTATGGCATATGTGGGAATATTTGTTCCTATTGTGACGGCCCAATATTATTATTAATAATTAAATTCAATATAAAGGGGCGTCAAAAATAGTCTTAAAATATATATATTAAGCAATAAAATTCATTAATAAGCACAAAGTTAATATAAATACATTTCAGACATTAGACCAATAACATAGTAAATTAAAGGAAAAAATATTGGCTTTCATAATAAATAAATTTATTATAAAAACTTGTAAAAAATATTTAAAACATGATAAACAATAGAAATACAAGTTTAAAATATTATAAAAATAAAGATAAATAACGTTTATAATATAATTAGAAAATTTGTTAAAAATTGTCTAAGTTGCGGGGGGAGTGCATCAAAATGGTTGGCACTCACCGTGCACGGCGTGTGTGGGGGGTGCCCCCCTTTTTTTAAATAAATGTAGGAGAGCGAAGCCCTTGTATCGGGTATTTTGTATAAATATATTGTGAGCCTTTTCCAAGCGGGAAGGGATAAATAATAATAAATTAATAATGTAAATCTGATACAAGTGGAATAGGGACGTTTTATGTTTTTAACCTTTCTCGAGCCCTGTCTTCGTGAACGGGGTTCACTTAGCTTATAAGGCACTACCAACAGCTTTCAATTGCTCTAGCGAATGTTCATTCTTAAAAAAGACACCTAAAAGAACTGAGTTACTAAACAAACACAACGTAAATAAGGGTCCTAACTAAGACGATCACGCCAAAAATATTACAAACGGCCTATTATTAAACCTTTTGAAAGATCATTTAGAAAGATCAAAACATATCTTATTTATCCTGGTCACATATATATAATTTTTATCGAAAAGGGGTAAATTAATTAAATTAATTATATTTATTTAATATAATATTTATTTTTATTGTGAGAGGGGGGGAAGCGTTACATTATGAAGGTTGGTTGTATGATTTGTTATGACGTTGTATGGTTTGTTATGGAGGAATCTGTGAGGAAAGCCTATATTTAGCAGTAGATTTATAATAATCAATAAAGATAACAGTAATAGTCCATGGATGGTACAAGTTGACAGCGTAAATGAATCCACCGCCCATAACATTACGTTCGACCATTGAATTAATGCGTTCGACTATGGAAAACGCACGGTATAAGCTTATACCAGATTTAAATTTTCCGCACCAACGAGAAGCAGCGTCTAAGGTGAAAGACATCTGATACTGCGTTAGTAAATCCATTATATTGACTGCCTGATTGATCTAGTGATCTAGTGAGTTTCCGAATTCGAATTCCGGGTTGGGCCAAAATTAGTTGTTGGGTTTTTCTATCACGAAATTCTCAGTAGCAATTTAGAGTCCGGTTGTGGTGTTTCATCCCGTGTAGAGGAGCGCGCAAAGCTGTTGGTCCTGCGCCTGATCTCTCTCCGGTCATGTCGGATGACTATAAGAGTGAAGGAATAGGAAGTGCATCTGTGCTTGCGCATACACTTGAGCACTATAATCCTCTCCCACATAAATGGTTAGTCTTCGTTGAGATTAGTCGTCGTGATGTAAATCTGTCTAGAGGACATTATAATTTATAACCAGTCCAAATGTCAAGGAATAACAAGTGTGGCAAATGGATAAATCCTCTCTGCTATGAGTTCTGATTTAAAAAGATTTAATCGTATTCTATTATTTATATTATAATATTTAATTTTTTATCCTTACAATTAGTTTTATTCATGCAATATAATATATATTTTAATTATTAATTATACACAATATTTAAAAATAACTATAATAAAGAAAAACTAGAACTAAAAGTTTAAATTGTCATATAGTCCTGCTCCCCGTGGTATAGTGCCAAGAACGCTGGCTGCGTTTCCTCGCTGAATGGCTATACTTAGCCTTTGAGCGAGGAAAGAACCAGCCCTCTTATCACCAGCAGCGACGACCAGTCGCAGATACATTTCCTTTAGGAACTTCACTGCACGTGGACCCCACGGACCGATAGTCTCTACAGCAAATGGCACAAATATGTAGTCCTTTCTCAAAGACTTATATTTGCGGCATTCACTTAATTTTTGATGTTTTAACAATACCTTATTGCAGAGAACCGGAAATCCTTTTCTTATAGAAGAGCGGCAAACAAGTATGTGGTTCACCTAATGGTAAGTGACTACCATCGCCCATAAACAACTGCAATACCAGGGGAGTTGCAGGTGCGTTGCCGGACTTTTAGAAAAGAGTAAGCTCTTAAAGTTCCCCAAGTCGTATCGGTCCGGAAAAACGCGCCGGTATGGTAAAGGCCTCCTCAAAAAATGTTGTACAAGGAAGAGAACTCCTAGTAAAACACACAGTGATGGACCGCCAAGCATCCAGATGACGTGGATGTTATCGTGAGTTTTGTTCGTGAAATTTGGCGGCTGGAATTAATCCGAAAAATTCCTGAGAGTATTCCCCGTGGTAAATGCGATAGAAAATGCAAAGGCATGCAACATCACGCCAGTGAATCGAGCCGATTTGAAAGAAATTGTTCGTCGACGCCGCTCGCTCTGCGCTGGATGTGGTCAAGCGGAAGGAGCTGGCACTGGGGTGCCCCGGCCCAGAGATGAGAACAGTATTTCATGTGAGCCCAAGGATTTCGATGCTAACTGAGATACGACACAATGGTTCTTTTTAGCGGTAAACCCGCAAACCTGTCTTCTGAGGGTTAAAATAGATTTACTCGTCCTCGATCTGAAACTTTGTTAAACAACGTGTTTACTAGAAACAAGGCATTTCATCTTAATCTTAATGACTGACAACGCATCTGCATTTTGATTCTAGGTTTATCTTTGATTGAGAATCAATCTTTTAGATGTCTATATGCCCCAGCATCCACTTATTTAGCAGACTGTGTGCTCGTTTGTGAAGATAAAAATTATAGTCAACAAGTTTTACTTGGGAGAGCCACGCTGCAGGTATATTATGGTTGTAGCACGAAAGGGTCGACTCGACCGGGGTAGGACCACACTCTCACAGAATACCAGCGTAATGCTGCTGTTTTTCGTTTGGTGAGTGTAGAGAACCGGAGATCCTTTTTACTGGAATCGAGGCATTCCATCGTAGTCCTCAGGGGTGACAAGGTATTTGCATTTTGATTCTTAGTTGAGGAAATGTGGATGTCTATGGGCCACACCACAGCATCCACCTACCATCATGTGGACTGTGTGCTCATTTGTAACCAATGCTTAATGTTTTTTTTAAATAAAATATTATTATATTATTATATAAATAAAGAAATTAATTATACCTGTATTTAATAAATTAAATACACAAATAAAAAATGTGCTAAAATAAATACAAGAGCTAAGATAGAGCAACACATACATAGGAAAATATTATAAAGCCATCAAACGTTAGTTATTTCTGAACAACTTTATTCGAAATCTCTCAATCTATCGACGACCTAAATAGCAACAAAGTAGAATGCATTTCGTGACACGTACATATCGACATCTAAGTGGACGCAGGATGTGTAGCCTAACCTAGGTCTTGTGGTCTATTTGAAACTACCAAATTTAGTATATAAGCTGCGTACGCGCCGATAATTGGTCATACTAGATTCTAACTCCAGTAGCAACAGTACTCAATAGCCATGAAATCCCTCGTGAGTATCTAACATTTATTATATACCTAGTTTTGTGTATAAGTAAATAATTTTTAAAATGAATATACTGTTTTATAATACGTTTCAAATATTCGATATAAAATCTCCTAACTAGTTTTTTCTTATGTACCATGGGCAATCACACTATAAAATAAAAAAATCTACAGTAAGTTATCAGTGGACTATTTCACTCAATAATGTCAACAAAGTCAAAACCTTAGCGATAACAATAGAGATTTGTCTAAATAGTTACATTATAAATTTTAATCCCTACTTTTACACCCTTAAAGGTGAAAATATTTCTTTAAATTTATGTGACCGCTTTATCATTGAGGTTTAGCCTATTTAATAAAAAAGTATCCTAATAAAAATCTGGTCACAATTGTATAGGATATTGACACGTAACATGTAAACAATCGAATTGAGAACATCCTGATTTTTAAAGTCGTCTAAAATTATCCACACCACAAACAATTTTACGTCATACTCGTCACCACTCCATGCCTCCGGAGTAGTGCCACCATGGGGGACGGAATTGAAGGACCTCTGAAGGACTTTAAGTACCGGTTTTCCACCCGCTTTCAGAAGCTCCACTGTAATTCAATCCTCACCTCTGGCCTTACCGTTTTTAAGATACTGGCGAGCCATTCTAATGTCGCTCAGACTGATGTCCTGACTGATGGGATATCATCGGAATAGTGTCGCATAAGACTTGCTCTGGGATCGTTACTCACACTTGCATGTGGCTCCAACGATTGTACGATGTATACAGTTGCCCATGGAATCTCTCAACCTCACGCAAAGTCTCAGGTGTCCCGGAAACGATACTGCCCCACTCGGTCTTCAGGTTTAACAGTTGGCTCTTTCTAACAGACAGATCTGGAGCCCTGGTTCCGCTCGATCGCTTCTTCAATACGAGCTGTAATGAACTTGCGTAAGTCCCGCCACATGCATTTGGAGATTTGTCTGTTCAGTTGCCTACATGCTGTCAAATCTGTTGAAGACTGCAGTTTCATTTCCCGTCTTACAGCCATGAGATTAAGAGTGTGATCGGAGAGTTTTTGTGTTCTTCTGCGGCGGGTCTTGCAGAACTTAGCTCCGACCGCATGGATAGTTTACACGAGCTTGTCATTCATATCGTCCATTGCATTGCAGTCTCCTAGGCACTAAAAACAGTTTTGTGACTCGAGCTGCAAGGTTTCGGGACTTTGGATTAGAGCACGAGGGGGACGGAGCGTCGACTTCATTAGACGAGACCTCTCCAATTTAACGTTTAGGTTCAGTGTGCCTCCAACCATTCGGTGATTGCTACCAGTTTTAACCCTTGCAATCACTGAGACATCACTGAACAGTTGCCGTCTAGTCGTCATAATGAAGTCAATCAAATTTTTTGTCGAACCGTCGAGAATTGACCAGGTCCACTTTATGCGTGTCACACATAAGAGGCAACAAAGACAATGCAGCATGATATGGGTAACAGCGTATAGCTTCTGTTACCAATCCGTCTGTATAACGTTGCCATTATGGTAAATATCCCCCATAGAAACAGAAACAGAAACTTTTTTTCATTTACCACTGGTTCGCGAAAAAAACCTCTGTCCTGGGAAGAACCAGTAAGAAACCCAGCGGGATAATTTTTTTTTCAAACATTAGCTTACAATCATGTTTACAATTAACAACACAAGACAAATTAGAAATAGCTTGGTAGCGATCACCCTTCCCAGGAGTTACTATCATCCATACATGCCTTAATATTATAATAACCGTTTTTATACAAACTTAGTTTCATAAAAATTTTGAACTTTGCGTATGACAAATTTTGTATATTTTCTGTGATTTTGTTGTAAAAGCGACATCGCTCCAAGAATGAATTACTGACTCGGTGCAGTCGAGTAACTGGTACCACTAGCTTGTGTCTGTTCCTAGTATTTACAGAATGAATATCACTTATTTTTGCAAAACTAATTTTAATTTTGTGTACGTACGTTACATTTTCATAAATGTATTGAGGGGCCAGAGTCAATATGTTAATTTCCTTAAATATTTGTCTCAGTGACTCTTTTGGTTTTAAATTATATATTGCTCTAATGGCCCTCTTCTGTAAAACATTATATGGGGAGGCCTGTGTTGGCAGTGAACTTTTAATAGGCTCTAGTGATAGCGGTAATAACGATGTTTCTTTTATGTTAGATAAGAGCTTTTTAACGTTAACTTAAAGTTAGCAACAACGCTATTTCAATAACGAGATTTTACATTTATAATAATTAGTTTACATAGCAAATGATGTATAATTATATTGATATGGTTTTCCACGATTGTTTAAAAGCGTTTTGCAAAGTTTTAGGTTGCGGAAACTTACGGTTCATGAGATATATTTTTTTAAACTTTTCATACAAATTGGCAAATAACACGCAATTACACCAATTACAAAATGAATTTGACAAATCATTGATGTCAAACGTCAATTAGTGTAGGGTTCCGAATATTTTGAAAGTATCGATACGTACTCGATACCAAGTATCGTATCAAAAGTATCAATACTACTTGGTATCGAGTACATTTCGTTAATTTTGGAGACTAGGGGGGGGTAAGAAGCCGGGAAGTTGTGCTCCGGCGCTCCGTGGCAGCTCCGGCGCTGCGGGATGAGCAGTGCCTCCGCCCTAGCGTAGGGAAGCGCAGGCACCGAGATCGCCGTAGCGGCTGAGGCTGGTCGCCGAAGGCGACCAAAAAGCCGAAGCTGCGAAGGCACTGCTCTCCCTCCGCGCCTCCGGGCTCTTATATACACTCTAGGGGTAGGGCAGACAAGACCACGTGGATAGTGGGGTGCTCTGTTTCGGTTTTGGGTACTTTTTGAATATTAAATAAGTAAGTCAATCAGTAAGTAAACACTTTATTGTAGTAAGAATTAGATAATACAGAAAGTTGCAAACAATAAAATACAAGTACTAAGGTGGAACTTAAATAGAGTAAACTTTATTCTACTTTATATACATATATAATTGCACTTATCAGCTCTTCCTATGCATCTAATTGGTTTGTCATAATTTTTCGTCTCCAAAATTAACGAAATGTACTCGATACCAAGTAGTATTGATACTTTTGATACGATACTTGGTATCGAGTAGGTATCGATACTTTCAAAATATTCGGAACCCTACACTAACTGACGTTTAACATCAATCATTTGTCAAATTTATTTTGTAAGTGCGTGTTATTTACCAATTTGTATGAAAAGTTTAAAAAAATATATCTCATTAACCGTAAGTTTCCGCAACCTAAAACTTTGCAAAACGCTTTCTTTTAGTGAGTACTATCTACAAAAAACATATGGGCTTTGAAATCGATGGTCCATATTGGAAAGATTAGCCAAGCATTATTAAAGACATTGAAGTAATATGTACTTACGTACTAGAACAGCTATTTTAAACAAAACATGTGCGCTACTCTGTGTTCGCGGGGTTTTTTTACATAGAATAAACACAGGTATAATGATCAGTAGGTAATAATAGATTGTATTATTAAATAGGTAAATTATATCGAGAACAATTTTCAAATTTTGTCATTTATTTTGTATATTATATTTGCTTATTTAATATTATATTACATAATATTATATCACAATTACATTTTAATGATATTTTTATCTGAATATTTTAAAAGGTATCTATCTAAGGTAGGTAGGTATCTAAGGTATGTCAAATATAAAAAACATACTAAATTTATATTTAACAAAACTTATTAATATAAAATTTAAATTACAAATATATTTATTTAAATTAGAATAAGAGTCGTTGATAAATGCTGGGTAGGTACGCGAGAGTTAAAAATCGACGAAGTAAACTCCACTTTGACTTAATATAAAAGAACAACGAGCAGATTTAAATATAAAAAATTGGCCCAATTATGATAACACGTATATGTTTCTACAAAAAAAATTGTGTATAATAATATATTCGTCCTATACTTAAGTACCCACAGAAATGTCGCATCTGAACAAATTAATTCCATAATCTATATTACATGACACAAGATGGCGTCTTAGGAATAACTTGTTTTATTATTAATTTATAATACTTTTTTATTCATTAAGTATCTTATTAACCGATGAAAAGTAATACCTTGGTTATTACTGACATTTCTTGAATTATTAGTGCAATATCAAAGTACACACGACGGCATATTTTTATCAAGAGATTTTTTTTAAATCAACATAACACATTACAACTCTACAAGCGCCTAGCGAGTGACTGATTAAAGTGCGGTGTATGCACCGCAGTTGAGTGTAACAGAGTAGCTGAATGCAGTGTCGCCTCTAGTACGTAGTACATAATAGCTCAATGATTAAAGATAAGTTAAAAACTACTGGTTCGATCCTGATTAAATATGTATGAGATCAGAGGAGTAGCAGCAGCTTTCAGATAAAAAAAATCATCAAAATCGGTTCACCCAAATCAGGTATAACACACATTACAAAAAACATACAATCGAATTGAATATCTCGTACTTTTTGAAGTCGGTAAAAAAAACGACTTGTTAAAATTTAATTGCTGAAATAAATAATAATAATAAACCATTTATTTAGTGATTAGATAAAAGAGATTTTGCTACTAGGGATAAGAGGATAGATATCCTTTCAAAATTCTTATTTTCAAATAATGATTTCTTAAATTTACGCGAACACTACACATTGAATAAAACTATTATTTACGGATTTTATCGCGTTTAATTACTTTAATTTATTTTTATTATTATCCCGACGTTTCGGGTGCTTTACAGCACCCATGGTCACGGGGGGGGACTGAGATGTTTGACGTCCCAATGTCATAGTTAGTCCGGCTACCTTCAGTTTTTTTTTAATATTATTTTTTTTATTCTTATTTTCAAGTTGATTTTTTTATTTTAACTAAAGAAGTAATAATAATGACATTTTTATAGGATAGCACACACTCCACCTGGTGGTAAGTGGTTGCTGCGGCCCATAGACATCTACATCTATCCTCGATTACAAATCAAAATGCAGATGCGTTGTCACCCGTGAGGATTAAGATGGAATGCCTCTTTTCCATTAAAAAGGGTCTCCGGTTCTCTACACTCACCATACGAAACACAGCGGCATTAAGCTACTATTTCACGTTGGTATTCTCTGAAAGCGTGGCCCTTCCCCGGTCGAGCCGAATCTAAACATTTTTTCTTCTAAGAAATGATAAGGGAGCTTATAAACTTTTTACTACAAAAAAGTTATATTAAACACACAAAATAAAACACTTATAATCACTCTTGATTGATTTAACAAATTAGACCATTCTAATTTGTTTTAAATATTTTCAGGTATTCTTAACTCTCCTAGCGATGGCCGCGGCCAAACCTAAACCCGGTGGTCTCCTTTCTTCCCTCGGGGGATTCCCTCGACGTAAGTCATACAGTACTAGTAAGTCACAAAAATCAGTGGCGTCATTTCGCGATTAAAATGTTAAAGATAAACTTTTAATATTTCCAGCTGTCCTCGCTTAGCTTGTTGCAACAGCCAATTGCATACGCCCAGCCAAGCTATGCCGTAGCAGCGCCTGTGGTCCACGCCGCGCCCGTTGTCCACGCAGCCCCCGTGGCCATCGCTAAGCCTGCCGCCACCAGCTACTCTTCCTTCCAACGGGTACACCATCTTTCTTTTCAAAAAATAAAGCCTGGCCAATTCTTTTTTACAAACAACAGTCGAGATATATCAAACAAGAGGGGAATTTATTTTTGATGTTTAATCTCTTCCTCATAATCATCAGCCCGTAAAATTCTACAGCTGGGCCTAAGCCTCTATCGTTGTAAGGAAACGTCACCTTAATCGCCACACTTGTTAGACAGATTCAATAATCCTAGTGCCAGACATCTTGCAACTTCTCCGACGCGAGTCTGGATATTTAACCTTTTCTAAATGAGATGTATATAACGCCATCTGTCGGAAGCCATAGAATCTTTTTGGTTATTTCCATAGTCACCGAATACCTACGAGACTATAAGAGGTTAGGAATTAAATTTAGGGTCACAAGCGATCACACAATCCATCTAATATAAAAATTGCAACAATGTTATTAATATTGCATATTAATTTCAGGTTATCCACCCAGTTTCCGTAGCGCAGATCCATGCCGCACCTGTTATCCAGGCCGCCCCTGTTGTCCACGCAGCCCCGGTTATCTCTCAACCCATCGTCCAATCAATCTCTCAGCCCATTTACCATTCAGCACCAGTTTTACAGTCCTATGCCCAGCCTGTCCTCCAGAAATATCTGTCTCTGGGCTCATACGGTCACGGATGGTAAGCGGGGTGCTCTTGGGTGCGTTGTAAATACTGGTTAAATACAATTTTATTATTTTAAGCGTTGAGATCATGTCCGTACTGTGGGCGTGGCGCAAATATAGTATTTCCTAATCTATACATTTTGAGTTTTATTGATTTTCTGACCTTCCGGTAATACATAAGGTACTTTCTTGGCCCTCAGTCTTTCGCCGCTGAGACCATAAGGTGTATATGTGTTAGAGTCACGCCGCAGCTAGATTATAGTTGTAGCACGAATGGGTCGGCTCGACCGGGGTAGAACCACGCTCTCACAGAATACCAGCGTAAAATAGCAGCTTAATGCTGTTGTGTTTCGTATGGTGAGTGTAAAGAACCGGAGACCCGTTTAACTGGAAACGCGGCATTCCATCTAAGTCCTCAGTGGTGACAACGCATCTGCATTTTGATTTGTAATCGAGGATAGATGTAGATATCTATGGGCCACAGCAATCACTTACCATCAGGTTGACTGTGTGCTTTTTTGTCTCCCTATTTCATAAAACAAAAGAACGGAAACTTCGTAAGGAAATCTAAACCTTAACGTCTGAGTTATAAAATATTTTGGTGTAGTCTCTCTGGTTTCTATGATGTTGGTGCTGTTAGCCTATTTTATTATTATTAGAAGCAATTGCTTCAAAACCCTTCTAAAAAAGAAAAGAGGCCTGTGGCAGTTGTGGAATGTATATCATGGTGTGCTTAATCTGTTACGATCACACTATCATTATTGCCCATTGCTAAATATAAGCCTTCTCCATAGGTTATCACAAAATATAGTCCTGAGCCACCTTCTTCCATCGATTGCCAACATGTTTCCCATAAGTTCGGTCACATAGGCCGGCCATATGTTACTCAGATATTTTTATTGTATAAGGCTGACAAACGAGCACACATTCCACCTGATGGTAAGCGGCTGCTGTGACTCATAGACATCTACTTTTGTCTTAGTTTAAGAATCAAAATGCTGAATAATCACCCCTGAGGATTAAGATTGAATGCCCAGAGGCTGATTAAATGTCGACAGAGCCCTAGGCTAGCACTTTAAGAGCGCCCCTCTGGTGGACATATATTATAAAACTATTTATTTTGCAAATAAACTATATTGTTTATTTTATAATATAGTTTAGTTGCAAAATAATAAGGACACGTAACAAACGGGCGTGAATGGAAAATGAAAGTGATTAAAGTAGGAATGCCAGATTGGAACAGCAAAATATCTAAACAAAATTTTAAAATATCGAGATTTTGGGTTTGTTGTCGGGATATAAATAAAAAAATGTAAAATAAAGTTTACTTTCTAAAATAATAGGCTAAAAAATCTTAACATTGTTGATACATCTATTTGGCATTGGACTTTACCGAGTCCACCAATTTGGATCCTTTATAGTGCTATAGTTTATAGTATATATTCCTTAAGTAGTACCTATCCAGAAAAGATTTAAAATCCAAAAAAATTCTTCAATGTTCAGTCAAAAGCAGCTGTAATGTAAAGATAAGCTTTTTGTCTGGAGAGTTTGAGTTTTGTCGGCAGTCTGGATGTAATTTAAAATGTCGGGAGAATCCAGACGAATCCCGACCATCTGGCAACCCTTGATAAGAGAGTGAGGGTGATGTAACATTCATAGCTGTGCGGACGACAGCACTGGTGATGCTCCATATACCGGCCGTGCTAATATTTCTCGGGAAAACGTCCCGAGTACCGAGATAAATTTATGTCTGAACTAGGGCCGAATAAATCTAGTCCAGTTCAATACCCAGAAGAAACAAGTTTGCCAATTTACCGCTTAAAAGAACCCCTTTATCGTATCTCCTCAGTTTTAGGGTACTACCCTTGTTGCCTCAGCTAATCAGTGGCGAAGCGTCCATAGAAGCCGAGAAGCCGGGCTTGCCCTATCAAACAGCTCAATCAATAATACCAACTAACAAAATAACTCGTAAACTGTTTCAAACTATTTCAAATTTCCTGCACGCTCCTGTGTCCTACACAGGTCATGACTTTATAGCCTTACTATGTAACGGCAAGTCTGCGCGATACTGCTGTCATAAAAAAGGAGTTCAGTTGAGCGATTAGTCGTCTCTCTTGCACACGTGGGCTTTATACCGGGCTTTCTAGAAGACGATCGCTCCCTCTCTAACCTGTGGCAAATTTTTTTGTAGTGAAATATAACTACGATTGTTTATATAGCAATTAGTACGGAGTGATAAGCCGGGCTTTCGGTGTGAAGTTAGTCGAGTGCGGGAGCACGCGGGCGATAGATACATTTGCAAGTTCCGACACACCGCCTGCAAATTTACATTCCCAGCTCTGGACTTAAGGTCCCAGTGTCAGCTCCTTCGACTCACTGGCACTGCGAAGAGATGTTACATCTCTGCGTATTTTATCGCATCTACCCCGCGAACACCCCCGTGGTTCCAGCCGCTCAATTTCACCATCGCACATCGTGACAAAACTCGCGATACCACGATTTAAGTTTTCTTCCTCGCTTCCTTGTGGAATCAACTACCACCGGAGATTTTTCCGGACAGATATGATTTAGGCACCTTCAGGAAACTTATTTTAAAAGGTCGGCAACGCATCTGCAATTTCCCTGGTGTTGTAGTTGTTCATGGGCGGCGGTAGTCACCTACTATCTGGTGAGCCGCATGCTCATTGCGCGCGATATTTTGTAACCTGGTGTCTCTAGGCACGTGCTCAGTTTGCCTTTAGAATAAACCGCCACTGAGAATGCCTCGTTTTCAGCAAAACGGTTCTCTACACTCATCATCCGAAACATAGCAGCATTACGCTGGTATTCTGTGAGAGCGTGGTCCTACCCCGTTCGAGCCGATTCATTCGTGCTACAACCATAATATAGCTGAAGTAAAACAGAAACTAATTGTAATTTTTGATTTTGTAAATAAAATTCTATTTCGTTTTATTATTATAATGGTAATGGTAAAAATAATACCACTTATTTTTTAATGTACATTTTAATAAAATATTAAATCTTAAACAATTATACTTTACGGTAATGAAAATAATACAGTATATTTATGGAAGTAAATTTCTTAATAACAATGTCTTACAAATTAGTAAACTTATATAGCTTAGCATGATATATATTTATACAAATGCAACAATATAAGATATTTGTACAGCCTTTTCATTTTCTGTTTTCGAAAGTCGAAAACATTTCGTTTAAAGCAGAGACATTTAATTGTTTAGAGATATCATTCCGTTCCGTATATATACATATACTGAGTAAGACTGAGATTCAACAGCTAGGTCCATAGCGATAAATAACACAAAATTAAAACGTCGCTTTCACACTCCGCAAAGTTTATAAAAATTCAGTTTTACCTACTAATATATAACTACATAAGTTTTAACAACTAACATATTTCTCTGCCACGTTGATCTTGCGGTCGAAAACGTAACAGCAGATAATGAGGTCCCAGGTTTGAGTTTCGTAAAGAATTTGTTGACAGGAAAACCCAACAATTGGTTTTGGCCCGATCGAGATCCGGATTTGACAAGTTCTTATCAAAATTTAAAAAAACACTATCCTGCACAGATGTCTATTCTCCGTTGAGACTGGCCGCTGTGACTGAAACTCGACCTGGATCTGGAGGACATTTTATTATGGAATTTATTTAAACAATATAACTATTGATTGAGTAGAATATTTTTTCTTTGTTTGTTTGAAGTATTAAGTTCGCGGACGATACAGGCGTTAATTAAAAAGGCAACACAGTAAGGCGTGTCCAAGAGGGATCTACATTAAACTATTTTTCGTTCTTGGTCTACTTAAATGATTTATCAATGAAAGATATTTATCGATGACACGGCAGTTAATACATGGCATAAAAAATCCAGTCTCTTACCAGATCTCGTTTGAGAAGGTCTTATTCTAGCAAACTAGTGTAGATTAATTCAAAATTTAATAAAATGTTATAAATTTGAATTTCCGGTCTTTTCGCTATAAAAAAATTATGTTTTTTGGTTCAAAATGACATTTGTGATTTTTTTTATTCTTTTTTAATATAATAAGCAACCTTCAAGCAACAAAGACACTCCCAAAAAGATGGCGGACATATATTTATTTTAACACATTTTTTTAAATACATGGCACTTATGTGTATACTTGGTATTTATTACAAAAAAGTTGAATACTATTAAAATATAATGAAACTTGTTGATATTTTTTTTCTTTTTTTTCCAACGTCCAGGCATATATTATACAAAGACACTCCTTATAAGATAGCGGACATAATTTTTTACCCTCAATATTTTTAAATAGATGTCACTTATGTGTACGTGGACTTTATTTCAAAAAGTATAATACTTTACAATTACTAAATGTTTATGACGACAGAATATAAGATTTAAAAATGCTAAAAACTTTCTCATTTTTTATATAAAAGCTAATACTCTTAACAATATATCTTAAGCTCTATGACTTTTAGAAAATCGGTGTGGTACATATTCGTTTGTAAAATACAGTAGGTAATAGGAAAGACAAAATGTAGGAAGTTTTCAAGAGGTCCGGGAGATGGCGCTTGCACTGTTAAAATCGTTCCTTTAATAATAAATCTATAATATTTCTAAACTATATGACGACATTTAAATCGGTGTACATTTACGTTTGTAAAATTACAGCAGTATAATACAGACATAACGTAGTAGTTTTTTAAGCGTTCCCGTAGAGGGCGTTGCCGCTGCCCATCTTGACCCAGTAGCTTCGTAGGACGAGTAAAAAGTAGATGTCCAAAACTGAAATAAAACACACGAAGTACATAAAACAGTTCAAATGTTACATTATAACCGAGTTTATAGACGTCATCTTTTTTGAGCGTGTTGGGATCCACACTCGGACTCTGGGATCGATGATTCGATGTAATTAATATATAGTACGTAAGGGTAATACGGTCATTCGGTTAATAAGTATGGTCACGTTCTTGTAACTCAAAAACTACAACCTTGTTTGCATAGATGACTGTGATACGATAGCTCTATATCGGTCAATAAAATACTAAAGGGTCAAAAAGGCGATGCTTTCTCGACGCTATTTTAACAGTTGACATTATAGTAAATATTATAGTCGATTTTAGTATGGCGTAGTGTAGTTACTTTTTAAGTAGATTTTCCGACGTGTTCCTAATTATTGCCAAAACTTGTGTGCTATTTTTTTTTTCATAATATATTAGATATAGTATACGATATTGTGTTTTTGTCTCTGTCCTCCTAGTTTTGGTTTTATAAGGCGGCAAAGCCTAAGGTGACCATATTACCCTCACGTACCTTATTATGTAGAATCGTTCACATACTAATCATCAGTCTACTATGAATAGTAATCATCATCATCATCATCATCATTACAGCCTATCAAAAGTCCATTGATAAACATAGGCCTCTCGCATAGATTGCCTTATAAGGGGATGTTTACTATCGTTGCACCGCTTGGGAAGAGGATTGCTGCAACCGTAGTTTATTATTATTATTACGATAAAAGAAGCTGCTGCCATTTGCTTTCCGGTTTCCCTCTGTCACCTTTTGCATCACCCACGGGATGAGTTGGGGTAGTTGACTCTCTAACGCCACTACTACACGGCCAAACACTACCAGTTTCTTTTTATAATATAGGGGTGATAAATGAGCACCGAATCACCAGATGGTAAGTAGATGCTGTGGCCTATAGACATCTACATTTATAATCAATTAAGAATCAAACTGCAGATGCGTTATCCGACTATGTTGCAATAGCTCGTTTCCAGTAAAAAGGGTCTCCGGTTCTTTACTCTCACCATACGAAACACGGCAATATAAAGCTGCTATTTTGCACTGGTATTCTGTAAGGGCTTGGTCTTACTCCGGTCGAGGCGACCCATTCGTGCTACAACCTCAATATAGCTGCAGCGTGGCTCTACCCCGTATATACTTGGGCTGGGCTGGAGCAGGCTGGTGTGACACGTTATTTAATTAAGGATCACATTATGATTTCTTATATTCACGCGAACTCTACACATGGAATAAAACAAATTTTACGGATTTTGTCGAGTTTAATTATATTTAATTTTAATTTCCGGCGTTTCGAGCACTTAGAGGAAGTCTGCAGTATTTCAGCACATTCAGGATCGTGGCCACTATTTGGTACAACAGATTTGATAGACGACAACTCCTCGCTAATGAACACCGAATCCTACCAAGGATGATTCGCGAGACTATTGAAATTAAAAAACATACAATATACTTACAAATAAGAAGATGGCTTGGTGCTACCAGCTGCTCGGGATCCCATTATTAATAAATTAAATTGAAAATTTCTAAAACCCCCGAAACAAAAAAGTTGATGATCTTGAAATAACAGAATCAATTATAATAATAAAACACGTATATGAACTACCGTTATTAAACCTTTTAATTTAAAAAATAAACCGCACCCAAATCGGTTGCAAAGCTATGATACCACAGACAGACACACACACACACACACACACACATAGCGGTCAAACTAATAACAACCATCCTTTTCGTCGGGGTTAATAAAATTAAATCTAAGTCCAAGCATACTACTGCAAGACTTTAACCTCTTAGCTACCAGCGTCCAATTTTGACCGCGGCGATATTTCATCAAAATTCAAGAGGTCAAATGTGACCGTACCCATCCACAGCACTTTAAGCCATAAATACTTATGTTTAGAGACTATTTTTCTATGACTATGTTTGGCATTATAGAATCAATATGAAATTTTCTAACCTCTAGTGGAATAAAAAGTCAGTTAGTTTATGGATATTTATTTATAATCTACGATCATTTCGTACGCCATTTTCATGTGAATGTTATAGTGTTGATTTTTAGAATTTTCTAGTGTTTTATTAATGTTTTAGTACTTATAGTGTTTTATTATGGAATTGTAATGAAAGTTTTTTTGTGAATGTAATTTATCTTTTTACGTGAATAATTTCGAGTAATATATAGAAATAATTGTGATTTTCACGCTTTTCGCTTGGTATGATTGTTTTGTTATCAAAATATAATAAAATCTTTTTGTAATGTTGTAAAACCTGACTTTTGTTTAGACCACAGGATAGAGAATTTTGTATAGATTTTATAATGTCTTACTTCTTCATAGAAAAGTAGCATTGATTTATATATTACACTAGATCAATAATAACCGCGCCAAAGCGTTGCCACTGCACATATGGCCACAGCCATATGCCTAGCTAACGTCAGTTCAGTGTTCAATGTGACGCCGACAGAGTTGAGCCGCGACAAAAAATGGGTAAATGCGTATTGAAAGAATGCTATTCAAGATCACAAAAACGTAATAAATCAAGCGGAATCACTTTCAGCACATAATTTTTAGTTCTTGTTTTCATATAAACGTAAAAAACCTCAAATAATTAAATGAAATTATCGAATATTGCCATTTAGGTTCAATGTTGCCACTTTTCCGCATTTGTGATTATCCTACATTAATGGGAGACTATATAATTAATGGAGTAAGTTAATTAGTTACCTCTGATTTTAAATATTTTGGAAATTATAATAAAAACTACGTTTTAACTTTCATACAAAATAATTAATTATTCATATTTTAGTTTATTCATGAATTATCTATTAAATATATTTTATTACCTATGTGATATTAATAATTTTTTTTTAAATTATATAATATTACCTATTTTATAATGTTTGATTTATTAGTACAATAAAATACTTATGAAAATATGTTTTATTTCATCATTATATTTATTTCTATTCATCTGATAATCTTTGTATTCTTTTTTTCTAAGGGGACGCAATAAAGATTTTAAAATAAAATATACTTTTTGAATATAAAAATAATTAACTGCAGCTTAAAAAAAACTCATTTTTATTGCGTATTTTAGGTAAAATTTCATATAGTAAGCCACACCAACCCGCCATTGCATGTTTGTGTGTCTATCTTTATCTAATCTTAGCGACGATATTGTTTTCGCAACTTGTGTAAGTGAGATAGATATACGTTTATTTAAAATTGTTATTAGTTTCAAAGCTACATCTCGTCGTCGCGTTTGGAACTTTCGATAGTGGTTACACTTTTTTCGACGCGCGGTAATATGGTTTGCTCCTCTAGTGTTGTATCATCATCATCATCATCATTACAGCCCTTCACAAGTCCACTACTGAACATAGGCCTCCCCCAAGTAACGCCACAAAGCACGGTCCTGAGCCACCTGCATCCATCGACTTCCTGCATGTCTTAACAGGTCGTCACTCCATCTAGTGGGGGGTCGCCCTACACTACGCCTACCGGTACGAGGCTGCCACTCGAGAACCTTTCTTCCCCATCGGTTATCGGTTCTTCGAGCTATATGGCCGGCCCATTGCCACTTCAGCTTACTAATCCGTTGGGCTATATTGGGGGTGCTAAGAATCTCCGTTGGAGGTTCGGTTGCCACCTACGACGACTCGACCTGGCAACGTATAACGGATTAGTGTTGTATAACTCGATGGAAAAGTAGTCTCTAAATAAAAGTTTTAACGCGACTGCATGGGATTTTTATGGGAATTGATGGGTTAAGAAGCTTCTATAAGTTCGTTCTGTGTAGATAGGGCCAAAAATTAATAATTAAAAGTTGAAGATAGCCTTCTTTCAGTATGACAACAAGACGTCAAATACATCACCCTCAGTCTTAGCCGGGTATGTAAATCCAGTACTTAAAATTGTGATTAAAAATTTCTTTGGTGCCTTCGGGGATCTAGTTCAGGATCTAAGCTTACGATGTAGATTTCCCATAAAATACTTACGTATATAAAATACACTCGTGACAATGTTTTGGGCTGGTGGTGCAGTCACAGCTATTTCGACTATCGTCATCACTATGTAAAACAACATGAATATCACGGAGTAGATCAGGAATATCTTGACATGGCCCGATTTGTTCTGAAATCAAACATTCACGTATCAGAATTCTTTTCACCAGTTTCCAGTAATGAACTGATAATGGTAGCACAGTGGCTTAGAAATTAACTGAGGCACTGGTTGTGGGTTCGAATCAGGCACGGAGTAAGTATTTGTATTTATTTATATATATAAAATTATGTAAATTAATTAGTACACACAATAAATTTATAAATTTTACAAATAAATAAATTTAACTTGCTAGTAGCCAGCCGCCGTGGACTTAACTCGCCATCTCACTCGCACCCACCCATATACATACTCTGCCTCGCACTCGCTCCTACAGAGCTACCCTACATGCTTGTCTTGTTATTTTTTCAATATCTTGCTTTGTTTGAAAGGTTCGAATTTCAATTGGTGATAAAAAAAAACTATACACGTTGTAATTAAATATAGATAATTTTATAATTCTTCGGATTGAGGTAAAAGGTTATTTTAAATAATGTGAGTACGCTTGTGCAAAGTTATTGCGGAATGATTAATGTGAATCGTCAAAAGGTACTTCGTAGATTTGGTTGACTATAGGGGGCAAAGGAGCATGTCCTACAAATAATTATTCCGGATCTGGATGTTTGTCCTTGTGTGTGTAAACTGCTTCCAAGATGCAGGACAGGAGCAAACCTTAGTGTGGGCGTAACGTTTAAAAAAAACTAAATAAAGAAATTAATGAACTTAAGATTAATTAACCCCATAAATTATGATTTTAATTTACTATCGAGGCTTTAAGGTAATCCAATCAAATCTTCAAGGTAATAATATTGTAAATGCACATGCCATATTCTTAAACGGGTTTATCCTTTAGTTTTGCCAGACCTAATATAACGTAAGTGAACTTATGGTGGCCACACACGGTCAGTTAAACTGATCATTGCAACTGATGAGTTCAAACTAAAACTGTTGATAGTTTTTAAAATATCGGATTTTCTGTATATCCATAAATAAACTTATGTGTAAAACTCCGATATTAATATATTTATAATGATCGATATATCGAAAATCCACTATTTTAAATCATATCAACAGTTTTAGTTTGAACTGATCAGTTGGAATGATCAGTTGAACTGACCGTGTGTGGGATCAATTATGTAGCTCTTCGTTTGGATTCCGGCTGTGAAAAAATATAAATAAATATAAGCTAACGAAAACAATTGTTGAGCTCAATGAGCGGATATGGGCAAAATAATTCTTATCAACTTTAATATAATGTATTTCTGTAAAGTAACGCCACCGATTCTATTAAATATCTTGAAAACAATTGTGACATACTGTTAATTTAAATCAAATAATATTTTAACACAAGTAGTAAAGTTAAAAATTTTGTGCAACCGACTTCAATATAATTAAAATGAGAACAGTCAACTTAATATGCATTATTAAGGATTACTCAAAAACTACTAGTCAGATCTTGATTAAATTTACATGGGACCACACGAGAAGTACCAGCTTTTAGATAAAAAAAAAAGAATTATCAAATTGGTTCACCTAGAAAAAAGTTCTGAGGTAACACAAAAAAAACATACAGTTGAATTGAATACCTTCTTTTTTAAGTCGGTAAAAACTTACGGAAATTTTAAGCTTTAAGCTTTTATGTAAAATAGTAGTGTAGGAGACTTCTTTAGCATAATCTCTCAATTACAATTACAACACGTAATATAATTAACGCATTTTGAGAAAGTAGTTTGTTCAGAATCGTTTACTGAATCGATTCCTATCATTTTTAATATAGGTAATTTTTTATCCCAAAAATAATTAAAACTACGTAAATTACAGTCACACTAAATCTGTACAGTCAAAACAAACTGAAATGGACCGTAACTTAAGGCAGTAAGACTTTTAAGAGTGCAGTTTTACTTGTATTATTACTAATTCTGTCATGCAATAAAAATAAAGAAAAATGAACTTTATTTCGAGCACATTAAAGTCTTTGCGTTCGTGGATATGTACTGTGACCACAACATTCTTCCGGATTAGTTATACTAAATGGGCGATTTTTTTTTCGTTGTAGATTTGACTTTTCGTGTGTCCTTCAACTTTTTCAACTCATTAAAAATGTTCAACACGTTCTATGTCATGGGTGTTATTTTCTATGGAACACATTACAATACAGCTGATCATTAAGGAAAAAAAACCTTTTCAATGTAATATAATAAATTGTTTAAGTTTGTGATGCCCGTGATTTTGTTGTGTCTCCTCTCTGAGTAGCAACAAAAAAGTTGAAATTTTATCGAATAGTCAAAAACCCACCAAAGCGTTTTACATTTACCAATCTCCAAAATATAGTGTACTTTTAACCTTCTTTATTTGCTTTCGCTAAAATCTACTTAAAACAGTAGAAATCAAGCTTCAATTTCTGTCCCCGGAATTCGTCGTCATAGGAAATTCCTACAGTCACGCAAGAATTTTCTTAAATGGAGCCTTATTTTTAAATCCAATTCTGGCCATAGACATATTTTTTAAGTCTGTCAACACTAAAGTACGATTGGAGTAGTGGCCATTTTGTGATTTGCTTCAGTTCCAATATAATTCACACTAGTAAAATTTTGTTGTTGAAGGGAAAAAAAAGAAATTCTGCTGAATCACGGCGTTTGTGACGGTAAGGATGCTTTTCTAAGTCTCTCTTGTGTAATTTGTAGTAGTATACTATGAGTAGAGTATATTATGTATTTTATCAATAATTTGTCAAACATAAGCTAGAATATTAAACGTACGATTTTTTTTTAAATTTCTCATCCAAAAACGTTACGTCAGCTGAGGAACTTTTTAATTAGAGGAATAAAAACGTGACTCACGGGAATTGTAAAGAATGATGCACATTAGCGCATTGAACTAAAAAATATATTTTTTTAATTTTAAATTCTAAAGTCGGTCTGTCTGCCTGTTTCATGACAAACGTTGACTTTTAGACAAAACTGCTAAACAAAGGGGTATGAAGATTTTTGTATGGAGGCTGGCTTACCCGCCATTTTGTATTTTTTTTCAAATCAGCGTTCACTTGAAATTCTTTCATAAATGGATACTTAGTGTTAATACAAACATAAAATGTCATAACACAAAAACCCGTAAAGTGTCACATTTCCAAGATATAAGCAACCTAAGTTTTACTTCTCCAAGTCGATTTTTTTTTAAATTAGCGTTCGATTAAAATACTTTCAAAAATGGATACCTGATATCAATACAAACATAAAATGTCATTAGAAGAAATACCGTAATGGGTCACGTTTTAAAGATATTAAAGTAAAACTTTGGTTGCTTATATCTTGAAAATGTGACACTTTACGGGTTTTCTTCTAATGACATTTTATGTTTGTATTAATACGAAGTTTCCATTTTTGAAAGAATTTTAAGTGAAATTGTGAATAAGTCTTGGAGACAGTTAGTAGTTACTTTTATGTAAAAATTAATTTTTGTTCGTCTTCTATGCGTTTGCGCAGCGTTTATCTTTCGAAGCTTTGTACACATCTGTACAAAGTTTCGAAAGATGAAAGAAACTTTGCTAGAGTGGCACGTTAACAACTGTGCCACTCAAGCGAGTTTCTATGGAAAAAAATAAAAACACCTGGACCAAATTCGCGGGCAACAGCCAATAGTAAAATTATCTTACATATATACAATTTTAAAATTAGAAGAAACTTGAATAAAAATAAAAACTAGAAGACTAGATAATATAATATTTTTGGAGAGTGTGACTGGCGGGTCCAAGTACAGTCAACAACAGCTACGACTTTACGTATGCGTTACCGGCCAAACCCGATTACAGGACAAACTAGTTTTGCCGAGGCCAAACTAGTTCTTCCTTTTTACGCATAAAGCTAAATTGGGTGACTAAGCAAAATAACCACGAAGACTAAGCCCTCTTTCCAACCAAGTTTTATTTCTTGTCACCTAATTTAGCTTAATGCGTAAAAAAGAAAAACTAGTTTGGCCTAGGCAAAACTAGTTTGTTCTGAAATCGGGTTTGGTCGGTAACATATGTATCAAATTTCTCCAATCGACTTTGGACTTTAAGACATATGCCGTTGAGTTCAGATTTGTCAATAGAAATTTGAAATTTTGTATAAACCGTAGTTGCTGTTGACCATACCATGATAACATAGATGACGGCTCGTAATGTCTCTCTGATAACGAAATGTTTTTTCTTTTTGTAAATGTACTATCGATATTTATTTTGATTCTACTTTGATAACAGGTAAGAGTTGCAGAGTTAACAGGAAAAGCTAAAAAATGGCTCTTATACCAGCAGAGAGACAAAAAAGGCATAGAGAGAAAATAAAAAATGATCCAGAGAAATACGAAGCACAAAAAAAGAAGCATGCGATACGGAAATCAAAGACAATAAATGAACTAACGGAGGAAGAAAAAGTAAAACAACGCAGACGATGGAGAAATCAAAAAAGAAAAGAAAAAGAAGCACGGAAGTCGAAAACAACTATCACTCAAGAGGAGAATAATCCACCATCGTCCTCCCAAAAGACTGTGAAGAAAGTCAAGAAGGCATCAACAAGACATCATGTTGCAGTGGTCAAGAAATATAATGCTGCCCTTAAAAAAATATCATCATTGAAAACCACTGTTAATAAATACAAAAAACAATTATTTCGTCAAAAACGTAAATATGAATTACAAATTATTAAATTAGAAAAAGATAAACAGACAGAATTTGATAAATTAAAAGCGAGACAAGAACTATTAGAAAGTTACTTGAAAGTGGCTTACAAAAAATGTAATAATAACAAAGAAAAACAGATTTTTAAGAAAATTACTGCAACGGACTTTATCAAAGTCACAAGAAACAAAACGTATGTGACTAAATTACTCGGTCTCAAAGGAAAAGCTAGATACACTCAGCGCAAACCAAAAAATGAAGCTATAAAAAAGAAATTGAAGAATTTTATTTGCGAGATGACGTAACTAGAATAACCGCAGGGAAAAAAGAATGTCGCACTGAAAAGAAGAAAAATGAGCAAATTCGATACCTGACTGAT